GTTTTGCTATCCCGTCATAGTACGACAGAAGAATTGCAACCTATCTTGAAGGTACACAGAATAAAAGCTCTCTATAAAGCACCCAACATCTTTGGAAATGTGTTAGTTCGGATAGAGAAAAAGATCCATTTTACATTTACGTAGTCTATTTTAGGTTTTGTTGTTTGTGATACTTTCTGTGTTGAAATATCTTCTTGTGTGATATCAACTTGTGTCAATAAACATTTAAGTTACATAAAGTGACTTAATAAACCCTGTAGAACTGGGAAATTTACAAATCAAACAGATGACAGTAAGTGCTATTTTCTGACAATCACCCATTATAATATTAAAGATATAAAAATGATTTAGAAACATTTTTTCAACTATAAACAATCGGAAGTAGTTGTAGTGGTTCATTTAATCTTAAATCCCTCTATCAACAATATAAAGAAAAGTATAATTATTTATTTAATTTAAACCATTTATCCAAACAATTTCACTTCTATACTACTTAAACTTGTGTTAATTTATTCATTTACTCTTTGAAGAAGTCACGAAATGTCGAAAGTCCTAATTTCTATTGATTGGTATATCACAACTATACCATTATTTCTATTATTAACATTCCATCTAATATTCAGTATTTTTTCTTTGAAATGATACCGTACAAATAGCGTGTACCCTTTTTGTTTTTTGATTTTTTCCTGATTTATAACTGATCATTTGTAATTTTTTCTTTACTTCTAACTTTTATTCACCTATGTATAATGAATAGTTCAATAAGAAACAACGAATATTCTTCTTTATTACATTCAAAGTTTATTTTACTGACTAAAGGAGTTTTTGGTGAAATTATGATTTTTGGACGACTTTTGAACGAAGCTGAAGTGAACTTGAGAATAGACATCTACTGATTAGGACTAAATGAGGGTTATAAAGCAGTTAAAATTCTCATTTACAGTTGATGGTCAGGGTCAAAAATTAGATTTAGGGTTTTTATCACGAACTGATATTAGCTATAATGCCAAAGCTCTATTTAACCACATGGATAAGTGAATTTCCCATCAAAATACGTGACTCGTTATCTTATAATCTGATTGGCTCGTCCATAAATTGCAGTCTCTCGGATTGTTTTCGGGGGGGGGTGTATCTATACTGTTGAAATTATATAACATTAAAGACCTAATCAGAACTTTCGAGTTTTTGTATAAAATTCAAAAAAGGAATAACTTATATCTTTCATTACAGAAAGTGAGCAATAAAAGTATGTGTGTAGATTGATTAGAATATTCAAAAACTTTTTAGGAACGGTACGTTTTTTGTCACGATAGAGTAAAATGACAATGTCGAATGTGTTACGTAGTCATTTTTTTACGTATAGGTATTACACAACATGTAAATGAATCAATGTGATTTTAATACTAGAGATCATAAGTCCATTGAAGTGAAAGCACCAAGGAATACCTGGAAGCACTGGATAGCCATCTCGTCCTATCGTGCGACTCGTCAGAAGTGCGCATCCACGATCATGCCTCGGTTTGAATATCACGATGCGGAATCGTGAATACACACACCTGAGAAGTCGTACGACAGAACGAAACGGCCATAATACAATGACGTAATCATCACAACTCAACATTTGAATAGAAGCCAACCAATTGTATAGAGTAAATATGAATGAAACTAAAATAATTCTAGTATATTTTATTTATTATTTTATGTTTGTAGTAAATGTAGACAACTAAATTTTAAAATATATTACTATTTATTATTCATCAAAGGACAAAAATCAATGATCGTTTTTTTTTCTCGTAGAGAATAATAAGAAAAACAGAGGAAATAACACAGTAACAATCGGCGCAAAGAGATGTGAGACAATGAGAACGAGGTAAAAAAAAAAGAAAACTGTTTATTTATTCTTCTTTACATATATGTGTAAAACAAAAGATGAAGCATACAGCTCAATAGGATCAACGGTAAGAGTCACTTGGAATTCAATTCATATATATATATATCAACGTAAATATTTTATTCACTACACAGTCTGTATTCGTTAAAAAGAAGAAACATGGGGAATGGAATTCCAATGTATGGATTCAGACTAAATAAGATGTGAAATAGGGCAAGTGTACGTAAGTGAACATAAAACAACACCGTACACCCACATATACTAATGAAGTCATGAAACAAGAAACAAGTATGTTAAAAGAAAGAAAACACATGAACAAAATGACCGGTGATCATAAATTACCTGAGCAAGAGAATGGTATGGCAATGGTAATGTAATTGTTATGGAAGTATATATTTATGAGTATAGATGTGTGTAAAATGGAGTGAAGTAAAGGAATATATATATATATAACCTTGAAAAGATATACTTACACATACATGTTCCGTTTTATTGAACTCATATTCTGATACAATAAATAGTCATTACAATAATAGAATACAGTACAGAATAGAAGTACAAATGGATAAAAATGTGCATACAACTACCTGACTGATTAATAACTATGATTGGCGCATTCAAAGTAGTATTGATAATAATAATAAATAATAAATAATTTAAAAAAAAGGAGAACAAAATCAAATATCATTAAAATTTCATTTTTTTTTCTTGAATTTATGAAGAAGAAAAAGAAGTTATAATCAGGCACAAAATGGTTAAACTGTATGTATGTCTAGTAGCATGTATACAAGTATGTCTATTTATTTTCTGTTTGTAATTGTAACATAATTATATCAGAACAATATATGCACACACGCACGCTCGCTCGCACGCACACACACACACACATATGTACGTACAACAAAAGAGACAAGAAATTCGTGAATAAAAGAGAGTGAGAATGAGAAAGGGAGGGAGGGAGAGAGAGAGAGGGAGGGTAAAAGAAAGAACAAAACATATTCATTCAATAAATAAATCGATCAATATGTAGTTGAAATAGACAACTTAGAAGTAATAGATAAATAAATAAATAAATAATATAATTAAAAACAAAAGAAAAGGCGCTATATAAATTGACCAATTCTACTATTTATAATAATTACACTTATAAAATATACGATTATTAACAATAATAAATAGTATAGTGAATAAAATGAAGGGAAAAAATAGTTTACATGAAGCTGTTTTAAAGAAAATATATAAAGGAAGATTTTACTTGACAATATACTTCTTATAGGAGACGATAAATTGCAGGGATTCAAAATTAGAAGAGAGAGAAAAAAGAGAAACTAATCAAGTTTCTTTTCTTTTTTTTCTTCTTTTAATTTATCTTTCTATTGATTATTAGATCCCCCCCCCAAAAAAAATAAAATCATTCACTTGTACACACAGATAGAAACATGCATTGGAATAAAATATCAGCATATTTTATTAATACTTAGAAAGGAAAAGAAGAATTTTTGTTTCAAAAAATGGCGCATTTATTAGTTTATAGTAAAATTACAATGAAAACTTATATTGGTTTCATTCATATGGCGCACATCTTTATGTATGTAGCGAGACAGATTGGCGCTTTAATAAAGATTAAGCTGAAATGAATACACCCTGAAGCAGAAAATAATATTCATGAAATTCATCATAGAAAAAGAGAATAATGACAATCGAATTGATGTCGTGAACTAGAAATCAATAAATAAGACGAAGAAAGGTTGTTGAAATACTATTAAAAAAGGATGAAAAAGCCACTATAGATGTTGTATACATTGCTTGTTTGTTCGATTATGACTTTTGAATCAGTGAGGTGCATTTTAGTGTGTGTGTGTGTGTGCATGTGGGCCTGTTTTGAGTTCTAATTCCAATGTTGTTTGATTGACAATGTTAATAATTTGTGATAATGACAAAATGAGGTAGCCAATTAGTGCCTGCGTCTTTTTTAATAAAAAATAAGAAAGGAATACAACATTATTTGCAATTCCCTGCCGTGTAAATGAATGAAGAAACATGTGTATGCATATATGTACATGTGTTGTATTCGGAAGTAAAATTAAACCAAAAAAAGATCATTGTAGTAATAACCAGTGAAATAGTGTAACACGAGAGAAATAAATAGGCCAAAATAACACTAATAACAAAAACCGTGTAGAAATTACCTGGTATTATAAATAACAATGAACAGTATATGGTACGAGTGTACACACAGTAAACACCAAGACTAACAATATGACTGTTTTAGTTTCCACATCTGAGATGACTGATCTCCTTTAATGAGGTGAAGAAAAAGGTCTAGCAGTAAGACAAAATAATCGGATATTCAACAAAATGAATGTATGTGTGTCTCTAAGCACATGTGTGTACCGAGATGTGATAAACAAATCGTCTGAACACAGACAAACCTGGGTACTTGAATCAGGACGTCAACACTGGTTACCATGATATAGATAGTGAGGAGGGTAAGAAAAAAAGCAAAGCAAAACGTGTCTGTACTTAGGGTGCGCGTATACATACATATGTAAAAATAGAAGACAAAATCCAAAAAAGTGGTATGTGGGTTTGTGCATTGCACTCACACGAATCCAAGTCTGTTTTATTAAAGTCATATAAAGGAATATATTCGAAGTGAAGAGACACACGGGGAGTAGATAAAAAAAAGCAACTCAAAAGTGGTAAAGAACAAAAATTTTCAATATGGAAATTTATAAAAGCATATCCTGATGAAAAAAAACAATATCATAATAACCATTTACAGACTCCATAAAACAGAGTTTTTAGGTATCATCGGTCGGAATTAAGTCATTGTAAAACTTTAGGAAAAGCAAATTCATTTATTATAAAAAAGGGTACGAGTAGTATATATATATATGTAAAAGTGGCACGGTAAAATGTTCTACATAGAACAAGATTGTAACAAGTATATGCAGATAGATAAATACATGTACGTATTCCTGTGTATACAATATTAAGTGTGGATAAAGAGGGGGAAAATGGAATCGAGGTAATGCAGGTAGAAAGCAAACGTACAAAATGTTCCATGAGATAGACAGATAGATCAAACAGTAATAATAATAATAATAATAATAATAATAATAATAATAATAATAATATACATTGACTTGTAAGTAGTATTACTGCTTATATAACAAATTTGATATTATTAGTCATAGCAAAAGTTCATTATTCCCTGAGATGGTGATAATAATAATAATAAAATTACACATTAGTGATATTGAAAAATAAAAGGGAACATATTTATTAAAATATGGATTGACAAGTGTACAACATCACACACACACACACATACACACTGGGTACATGCCTTAAATTAAATAATACACAAACGAATCAAAATTCATATAGCACGCAGTATACAAAAACAAAATATTGAATAAAGATGAAGATAAAGAATGAGAAAAGAAAAAAAAGAAGCTTGAAACTTTAAGAAAAACCCTGAATAATAAACAGAAATCATTTTAAATAAATTTGAGTAAGATAGAATGGAAACAATGAATAAAACGTATACACCACATTGTAACCATAATATCAAGACGAATAACAATTCCAACAAATATATATATATATAAATCAACCAAAACACAATGACACTATACTAATGGCAAAATTCATTATTATTATTATTATTATTATTCATTGTCGTGGTTGTTGTTACTTTCTCTCTCCTTGTACCTACATACACGCATACACATACATAGACACACATATAGACACAAATTGTCATTTACAATGTAAATTTTAGAGGCGTTGTAAGAGAGATATAAAATATAAATCCCTTTCATTAAATTAAATTAATTTAATAAATAAATAGACCGAAAATTATAACCTGAGTTACACCACCATAAAGAAATACAATAAATTATTGATTACCGTAGATTTTGCGCGTGTGTATATATATATATATATATATATATATCAGTTAGATTTCTTCCATTTTAATTGTTTTACAGAAAGGTTCATTGCAATGTATGTGTGTCATATTACAAACAAAAAAAATAAGTGTACAACAAAAACAATCAATAATACACAATCATTGAAGTACAACACACACACACACAATGATGATAATGTTTAAGGTTGAGAGAAAAAAGAAATTCGATTTGGAAAAGAAAAAAAAATAATAAAAGTATAAGCTAAAAAACAATCCACATAAATACAAAACAAGAAAAATCCAGGAGATACAGTCTCATAGAAACTAAATTAATCAATATGTAATTGTGTAATGCGTTGCCTCATAATCATCATCATCATCATCTTTATTTTGAGGGCAAAAGAAGAAAAAAAAATCGATGGACGAATAGATCTCGAAAAAAATGTAAAGATGTATTTCATAGATTTAAAAGATAACCATTAAGAATGTAAGACACACAGGATCAATTTAGTGTGACTGGGTATTTTATATTTGTATGAGAGTACAACGAGATGGATAGAGAGAGGCAGATAAATATCAAGAAGATGGATGATGTAATTGATTAGGAAACATAAAAGAAGAAGGTGAAGTGATAAAAGCAATGGTATTATTGGTATTCGTAGGAAAAACAGGAATAGTAGATGTTGTATTATCCGATTGATTTACATCATTTTTAGCTCGTTTCTGGCACGAACTAAGACTAACATTGGTTGACAATAACGATGATGAACCGACAACAATTGAATTGGAGAATTGAGGAAATGCACATGCTGAAGACAATTGAGAATCAGGTTGTAGTAATAACTGATTATTATTATTATTTTGACATATAGAAGTTTGTTCAGTTAATGCAACAACTGCTGCAGCTGCAGCTGCGGCTGCTGCTGGAACAGTTAAAGCAAGTCGACCTGCATCCCATCGATCAACGGATAGAATAAAATCACTATTATTTACTGTCGAATCAGATGATTTATTTATATTTAAATTAGATTGATTATTATTTAAAGAAGTTGATGCTAACTGAGAATTTTGAAAAGATCCTAATGAGGATTGTAGAACACCAGAACAGGCTAGTGTTACAGCTTGAGCAGAAGCGGAAAAGAGCGCTGATGCACTATCAGCTAATTGAAACATTTCCACATATAGTTCAGGGAACCGAAGATCAGACCTGAGAACCTATATACATATATATATATGAAGGACAAAAATGCACATCAAACATTGAGTCTCAAATTTCAGAAACAATATACACATGAATAATAATATTCCTACAACGTGATATATACAATACAAATGTTAGAATGTGAGCTCTATCTCTCTTTAACAGGTGTGTTTGGTTTGTAACCACACTGTATCTGAAAATATCTTACTGTTTATTTGTCCTCCGTTTGGTGCATTGAAAATAATATCCACATAGTTTATAAATGATTGTCTAGTGTTGATTGAATTCTATCAGTCAAGTTGCAATATGACCACTAGTTTCAGTTGAAAATGTACATTATTTACAAAATTATGAACTAGAATGAAACAACTGTTTGATGAAAAACTTAATTTTCAACAATACTTCAACTCATATACATGCATAATGAAAATTCCATCTTTAAAATAATCATCAACAGATTATTGGTTCCTTCTCCTCATAAAAAAAATTATACCTTTCAAATAATGCATCATACTAGTTTATTTGCAAACCGGCCTTTAGGACTTGATCACCATTAAGCCCCCAAATGTCCAGGGGTATGGCCGAGAGTTGGGTCGGCCCGCCCTCCTTCTCGAAATGCTCTCACACGGCCACGCGTATACAGCCTCTGCCAGGGAAGTCCTACTCACTGCGGGGTGTTATTTACGAAAATGAGAGGATGAAACGCGAATGTCCGGCGATTTAACCGGATCCCAAATCAATGATGCACATGGGCTCCAGTATCCTGTGGGAACAAATGGCGTATGAACCAATCGTTTGTCACAGGCTACCATGAGACGACATCTCACGATGCTCCACTGCCTTGTGGGTCAGATCTTCAGGTCAAAGTCTCAGGGTGTGGCCCCCTACGAAAACCACGTGCTTCGGTCTGGGCACCTGGGCAGTATTTCAACCCACACACAAATAAAATGAAAATGACGATATTTACTGAAAATTCTATTCACGCTTCGATTAACGGTCAAACAATTCACATTATTATTTACCACGTGACTTATTCACTCTCTTTTATTCCCACTTTATGTATCCTTATTTTTCAACTTATACAGCAGCTCGCCCTTGGTGGAAACTCTTTTCTATCTAAACGATCTCGAGTCAATGACTGGTCGAAAATTGAATGCTACCACCGAACACGAATACTGAGACGGTTTTTCTGAAACCACGTGAACCATTCAAACTGGCTGCCTTCAACGTTCGCACACTAATGCACATCGGACAACGTATAAGGCTGGTTATGTCTTTGGAAAGTCTTAAGATTGCAGCCCGGATTCAATCAAGAATGAATTCTACCACCAGTTATCTGTTCTTCGCCAGAAAATGCGTTCGACAGATATCGTAGTACTAGTTCTAGTACTTGAATGCTCAGGTCGGGCGTCTAGGCACAGATGAGAATCCTCTAAGTGGCCGACGTGAACTTGTTGATCTCAGGACAGATAACGAGGACCGTCTACTGCAACTAAGCACAGACAGCAACCTGTTTCTGGATAGCACTAGCTTTCGGCACAGTCATCGCTGATGTGCCACCTACTGTCCTCCCTCTGCATCTCAAGCCTGGACTCAGATTGATCACATCGCGATCAGCTACCGTTGGCATGGTTGTGTACAAGACTGCTGCTCCTTTTGGAGTACCTATCTGAATTCTGATCATGCCCTGGTCTGCGCCAATCTTACTTTACTTTTCAGTGGCCAACGAAGTGATCGTCACCAAAGGATTGATGTCAGCAAGATGGTTGCAACTTCGTACGTTGTTCAAAACCCGAGAAAGATTGGTTCCCGAGGAGCAGGCTGGGTTTCGTTCCGATTGAGGATGTATTGATCATACCTTCACCCTCCGCCAAATGTTAGAACACCGCCATACTAATCAAAGGCCAACAATCGAGTAATGTCAGCTGGAAGTTAATGGTGACCACACTAAAACGTGACATAAATTCATGAAATTATCAACTATTGATCCAAGACGCGTAGATAGATGCATACTATCAATCAAGATCAGTAGTTGGGTGACGTGGTTCATAATCAGTCGCAATGGCATTCATCTTTTATTTTCCTCTAAAAATGGAGTTCCAGTATCCTTTTATACATAACTTCTCATCCTGTCTTTTTTTAACCATATTCTCAATGTTTATTCTTTCTCATTATCATTGTTACTACAATGATTTCGACTCGTTAACTTTTCACATTGTTAAATTCATTTCATAGCACTGTGTTATGGGAATTTGAGTCAATACATATCTGTCAGACTCTCTACGTTATGATTGACTGATCATCGAAAATCAAGTAGTACTGAACAATTATTTCAACCCATTTCAAAATTTCCCCATAGTCCGTACATTTATAAGGACAACTAAGAACAGATGTTTGCACCTAAAAAATTCTTGTATTTAAGTGAGAACATGGTACTTTTACAAATTTGAATATCATGTGGTGACTTTCTACTGTTAAGTACTGATACTGATGAGTCGGTAACATATTATGCAAATAATTAAATATGATGTTTGTGACACCATTACTAAATAACTAACTAACAGATAATTAGCTCATTTCCAATCATCAGATGAAATAAGTTAACTCATACAACTCATACAACATCTTGTCAATCAGGAACAGTTAAATATTTATAACTCATTGATACGTTAATGACTAAACCAAAGTTGGAATCCAGTGGTTACACACTTTAAATTTGAAATCAATTCATGCAATACTTGTTTAGTAGTTGTGCTACTGTTTTAATTTTCACCAAAAATTATTTTCAAAGTTTACTGAAGTCTCTACAAATAATATTCATAATGATGGCAATTGTAGTACGGCATTTTTGTCGACTGGGTTGTCATAGTAATCAATTCATCAGCATCTAACATCCTTGCATATATATAACTTCAGCATAAGGAAGATAACTCAGTAATATTTTCAGTCATAACATAGAGAGTCTGACAGATATGTATTGACTCAAATTCCCATAACACAGTGCTATGAAATGAATTTAACAATGTGAAAAGTTAACGAGTCGAAATCGTTGTAGTAACAATGATAATGAGGAATAAACATTGAGAATATGGTTAAAAAAAGACAGGATGAGAAGTTATGTATAAAAGGATACTGGAACTCCATTTTTAGAGGAAAATAAAAGATGAATGAGTATATGCCATTGGGAGCTATATAACCCAATGTCTATTACTACTAATCGGCGTTATCATCACGAGGATGGTTTCAATGGCTTTGCAGTTGCGACAGTACAGGAGCTAGTTCGTCATGGATATCAATTAATATAATATAATCTTAATTAATATGATTAATTGTGATCCATTCAATAACAGTAGCGATATTAATCATATAAATAAAAATTTATAATAAACATTACCCTTAAATCTGCTAAAATTTCATGATGTTCCTTGTCCATTACTCGTATCATTTTTCTAAGAGCGAATAACTGGGTCCGTCTTTGTTGTGTTGATGCAACAGTCGGAACAGAGTGCTCTTGGAAATGAAACAGAAAGCCAACAACAATGAAATAAACAGAAAATACTAGATGTGCAGTGGAAAAGGTACAGTAGAATAATAATAATAATAATAATAATAATAATCAGCCAAGATGTTATACAAGGACTACTCATTGGGATTAATATATCTTTATTAAAAATAGTTTTGATAAAAATATTTGTACAGAATAAGATAATTTAAACATAATAATTACGATGGCATGTTCGAAACCAAGATACAGAGGTGATTCATAAAATCCCTGACTGTTCCTCTGAGCTGTATAGACAAGTGTAAACCTCATGCTTAAGGCCTATGTAATAGTTGGAATCTATGGAGACGGTTTGAAATCGTTCATGATGGAGCAGTTGAGTTCAATCTTTCTTTAAATCTTAAATACAGTGTTTCTCGTGAACTTTACTCTCTATATTCTACCTCCTGTGTCCCGTCTTGTTAATTTCCTTTTTTATTGTACTTATTTTAAAAGTGAGAATTTGGACCGATAAAACAAGTGTACCAAATCCTAGTTAATCTGTGTTTGAATGACTGACTGAGCCAAGTACAACTTAGTACTACGTAGTTTGTCTGATTTTGGAATGCATACTTCAAGTGTGAAACCTAGCGATACTATCTGACTGTCAGAATTGAAGTTCGGGTAAAGTGTAAATATATATCCCGATGATTGAATATTGACTGTTTGAACTACTATTAAGCTATTACTCAAAGTATAGTACAGAAAAATGTCTTTAATTCATCATCATTTTGCAGAGGTCATAAAAAATCAAATGAACAAGTGAAAATTATACAGTGAGCTACAATATAACACGATTGTAAATAAAATCATTCTGCTAATGAAACTATACAATCAAACTTCTTGCATAATAATGGAAGCGAATAATGGTTGAAAAATTATTTATTTATTCGAGGTTAGATACATATATATATGGACCATATGTAAATAATCTCATAAACTATGTCGTAAGAGTTGTATATTATTCCTTCAGAAATTTTGCCACTACCAATCGAATATTATGCAACTGAGCATTGAAATCTGTTTTGTTTCTAAGACTGGTATTTTCTTAAATACTTTACATTTTTAGTTACAATAGCCAAGGTTATGGTGGGGATGAATGAGAACAGCATCCTATGACTGTAGGCCATATATAAATATCTCTGTTTTCAATTAGCTTGCTTTTTTCATTTGACTATCAAATTAGTCACAATATGCACGAATAAGTATAGATCAAAGGACAAACACAAACACAAGTAATTCAACCAGTCAGATCTTATGGTTTTAGAAAAGAAAAGGAAACACGAATAACACTTTGAGACATTGACAATTTAGTCAAAATAATTCAAAACTGATCAACAACCGATAATTGTTTAGAATATTTGATTGAGTATCGATTGATCGTGACACAGTGGTGCTACTGTAAACATTCAAAATTAATGATAAAAGGTAGTGGGTGGAATTTAATTAGTCCGTTCTATACTTTTTGACACCTGATAGGTCTATGAAGTACATAAACCATACTCTTGAAATATTTCATTGAATGTCAAACACAGTATATATTAGTACTGATATCTTGCTGACAGTTACTAGGTTATAAGATCACAATAACAGTCAATGATACTAGTCTAGAGTTTTAATGGAAATGCCAACACTGAAATGCAAATGTCTACAGTTGATAAATCTCAAATAAAACGAAACATGATTTCTAAATTTTGCAACTGACCGTCATTAAAGAATAAAAAAGGCATATGATTTCAGGGAATAACTAGATATCTATTAAAAGAGATCACTAAATATTAATAGAGATTAATTTCTAACACTATCAATATACGAACAATGAAGCTGATATCTTATATGGTGTGTGCTACTGATGATGATAGATATAAGTAGTATGTATCAGCAAGATAAAGTGAAATGCCTAGAGCCAGAAGGTTAAGAAGATTAAAGAAAGGAGAACAAAAACCAATGAACAGTGAAGTCTGAGATGATTGTTTGATATTTTGCAAATGAAGTATTTACTGTATGGTTCTCAGATTTTACTAAGATGTTCTGTAGTTTTGGTATTCAAATACATTCGATTGTCCCCATTTGTGTTCTCGTTCACAACGCTTACGCGGCTTAGATAAATAATCAGTGATTTCATACAAAACAACAAAATATTAATCACTAGTGAAAGAAATAATTACTAAAAATAAAGTATTTTATTAACTGTTTGAATACTGACTTTAAGCACTAATTAGGAAGACTGTTCATATGACACACTGATAATAGTTGAAGAACTTTAAACACTAGAAAGTATTAGATAGATTTGTTAACAAGAATAACATCGACCGATACATACTGAACTGAAATGAGAATATTCTGATATAAAGATGAGTATGATGCATCATTTCGATGAATGAATTCGGTTCAAAACTTGATTTATGTATCATAGATTTAGTCAGCCAAGTAGTAGTAGATCAGTAGACGTTTCGAGCGAAAAATAGTTAAAAGTGAGTACATAAATATGTATTCTGTAGGTGAGTTACATTAATTATAACTTTAATTTTCAATGTATTCTTTTACCAGCAAATAAACTGTAATGAAAGTGAACTTGCTAATATAAAAACACTTAAAATTACTTCACTTAATGAGAAAGATCAACAAGCATATGAATGTGTGCCAACTCATCATTAGCAACACTGACCAAAACACACCGAAGTAAACGTAAAATAATAATTTTAAACAATCACAATAGACTAACATACATACAGACACACATATATGTACTAAAGTTTCATTGCAAAGATTCTACTTATTTTCTTTTCTAAACTAGTTGATAGTGTTTCATAAATATTTAACCATCTATTAAGAAAGCAATGGAAACAATAATAAAATATTAAATTGATATTAGTAATTCTAGTAGTAGTAGTAGTAGTAGTGGTCGACGTCGTAGTGACAGTCAGTTACTTATTGATTCATCATGTTAACCATATGTGTGATGAAAACGAATGTGTGTTGTTAAATAAACCACACTGGCATTAAGAAAAGTAAATGATGAATAAAACTGTGAAGAAAGGTGTAGTGTTTGTACTTGTGTGCTGATTTGTGAGAGATAGAAAGATGCCAGTTATATACAGAAGAAATATACAGTGAACTTTTTGTATAAAATGAACCAAACGATTTACTATACAATTGGTCAGACAGGCAGTTAACCAATCAACCGACTACATATGCATACACAAATGAACGAACAAATTTAATCAGCACACAACAGTAGAGGTAATAATAAAATTAGGAAAATTTATAACAGTTTAGTTTGTTCACGTATTGTATTGTTTTTTAGCGCAATACAATATATCCAAGATTTAGGACGTTTTCCTTTATGTTATTTTGTAATCACGGCGGTGCCTGGCTATCTACCTACCATGTGTATCGTCGACAAACACATACGCAAACATACATCCACACACTTACATATGTACAGAAGTACCCATCACTAGATGCATAGACTGAAAAGTGTGACGCTATAGCAGTGAAGATACAGATAAATATAGTCCATTCATATATACAGATGAAGGTTGTGTCATGCAGAGAGAGAGAGAGAGAGAGAGAAAAAATGCCACAAAGCGAGAGAACAACATCAAAAAACATGAAGTAATAATAGGGGATTATTTTTTTTCCAATATTCATAAAATTTAATATGATTTATTACTTTTGCCTAATGAGAAAAGATTGAAAAATTGGCAATGCCAAGACTGTCAAACAGATTCGGATCAGGTGGTCCAGAGTAGATGCAATTATCACGCATGCTCTTGCCGCATTCCGAGTTCCAATACTGTCCTATACTCTGTATTTCATGATAATGTTCGTTTTAAATCCTACTACTATAATGTCTAGTACCATGTTAAGTCCAAATGGGTCATTCTAATTTACGGACAGACCAGTTTATTCATTCTTCTTCAGTCACACTTTGATCTTATCAATTATTCGTCTACTGATCTTGACTGTTTCTGTATGAGCGTACATGTTTATCGCTTATCCTAGTCACCACATATCTCCAGCTTATTTTTGTATGGCTAAAATATTGAGTAACGCTTTATCAAAATGAGTTGGCCAATTTGCTTCCTTCACTTCTTATCCTAGATGTCTGTCTGGTTATACGAGTGCTTGAAATAATTTCATCCAACGCAACTCGTATTTGGCTTTTTATTACCGCCATCATACAAATAGGGTTAACCTAGGTAATATATGGAGTTAAATGGAAGATTTATGTTATATACATTCGTTCTTTGAAATTGGAGTCAGACCAACACGGTACTAAAGTGGTGAGCCCAATGTGATGAATAGGGTAAGGAATACACATGTACGCTCATATAAAAACAAACAAGATCAATAAGCGAATAATTGACAAGGTCAAATTGTGACTGGAGAAGAATGAATAAACTGGTCTGCCTGTAAGCTAGAATAACCAATTTGGACTTGACATGGTACTAAACAATACACTAAGACAAATACCATGCTATAATTATTACTATTGCACAATCAACTCGTTTTGCTGATAAAGTGTTGTATATTTAATTGATGCATCTTCCATTTCATTTATGATGGACTGTTTGAATTATTAGACAAAGAAATGTTGAGTCTTACATTTTTAGACTGGAAATAAACATTACTAGACAGATTCTGTTTGAGATTTATATAATCGTTGTTGGGATTCAACTTATGAACATTACGATACAACGAATTCGCTAAAGTCTACTGTACTGCGTTGTCATAATGGCCAATAAGTCTACCAATAAAAAATAGAGACACCTGACAAACAACTTTTGTATTGATACATTGACTAGATTACAGATTCTATGCAATATAGAGCTCGAAATCTGTTGTAGTAGGTACACAAATATACTTATTCCCCAATTTTCTCTGAATATCAATGTAAATAAAACTCTATAATTACTTACTTGCCATGCAATTTAACAAACTATGATGTGCTAATACAAATAATTCAGCTGTACTTTTTGCGGTAGGCTCTTCAAGTATACAATAATCTGTTGAAAGGAATAGAAGAAGTGTACAAAATGAGAACTTGTTTTCTGTTATAAATGAAAGTAAAAAATTCTCGTATCTATATTAAAACACTTCGAAGAAATTGGATTTAATAAATATTCTAAGTGGCTTGAAAACTGGGAGGAGGTACATAGATGAACAAACAGTAATTCATTTCAGTGTGTTATTTAATTACTTTTAAAAAAGAAAACGATTCAAGTATAAACATCCTCCGAATTATCAAAAGGGATAACTGTGATCTTTAGAAAAAAATCAATTCAGGCAGGATCCATGGGTTCGGATTCATCAACAACGCCATGAAATTGAGAAAAAAAATCAATAATCATAGATATTTTAGGCAAATAGTACAGCAGAACCGACTGGCATATTGATTTTCAATGACGATAAACATTTGATTTATAATCGTAATGAACCATACCTTCTTTGCAAAAACACTATCTACAGAATAAATTACTGATTTCGTATAAGAAAAAAATAACGATAATAACAACTCAGAGCTATTTTGTCATAATAAGCAACGGGTTATTATTTTAATTAGTAATTTGTGAAAAAATGGTTCCCATTATATGATAATAAAATATATCCTAATTTGCATGTTACTTAACGATTTAACACATTTGCACAAGTCTATCTTTTCTTTAAAATGATATGCCGATGAAAATAATCTTTAAACCACTGATAATCAAAGTTATCATTTTGTGTCAGATAGTTGGAAGTAGTCGACAAGAAACCCTGGGCCTCGGTTTTGTATTAGCTATCACTCGTCAATAAGGTGTAATCTGTAATTCTGAGAAAATTTGTGCTCCGTGCGAGATTTAAACCCGCATAACCCAGTTTTACAATCTAAGACATTTAGCTGTTGAGGATAAGAACGATTGATTATACGACCATTGGTTTATAATACTATGATAAAAAATTTGAACAGTGAAGAAAAATCTCATATTCCAATAAAAAAATAACTAGGTGAAAGAGAAATTTATTGTGTGGAGAGTAAAAAAAAATTTAGTGAATTGTTTACTTCGCAATATTTCTGCAGCACATGATAACGATAATTCCGGTAAACTCAAATTTAAATGGTGCATTATTCGTCCGGAAACACGTAAATGCTCTGTAATACGTTTAAATGTCGGGAAATGTCGCATGATCACTTCACGTTCTTTTGTTGGAAAATCAAAATAATTATATTCATCAGTTTCTGGACAATAATCACGACTAAGAAGCAGCAATAGGACTGAGTACATAGCTTCGCGAACTAGATTGCTTCTAGCTGTTATGCCTAACTGATTGAAACCTGTGCATAGAAGGACAGAATAAGAGATAAAAGGCAGTCAATAAAAATTTTTAGCGATGAAATTGGATGGAACTAAACACTGAGTTTACAGAAAACAAATAACAAGTGTAAAATTTAGCCTACTTAAACAACAGTCAGAGTAGTAACCTGGCAAGTTAATCACAAACAAACTTCTGTCTTTATCAACGTCTATTTTGATACCAAAATGTTGAAATGTTAAAATCTAACTACATCTTATTATTATTCAGTGAAATTCACTGTCTATTGCTTTAAACTATGCAGAGGTATTTTAAGGACAATCTATGCTAATGGTATATCATCATGAATTTTAATTCTGTACATTATTGATTTACTCTCGATAATCAGAATATGAAGTATATCAGATTAAATTGATGATCAGTGAGCTTAAGTCCCTCTGATATAGTCATTGTTGTTAGCGTTTCTTTATTTGAATAAACTGAAGAATATATGATAACTTAATTATAAGCGAAGGTATGTGAGTCTATCTTTATTAGAATGCTTTTGGCTGACACACTATACCACTTCCAGTAAATCATCAATATTACACATATGATTATACAATGAGACGATTCCAACTGATTTACATTTGTAAATTAAAAATTAAGAATCAAAGAAAAATGAATAGTGCTATAAGTTAGTACGAAAATTTGATTTGTTCGTTGATGTGTGTGTGATGCAGTAAACTATATATTCGGTTTAATTGCATGAAACACAAAACAAAAGAAGAATGAGTATTTACCATTTCAATAAACTGGTATTTGAGAGATCAGTATGTTGAAAACAACAAAAAGGATTAGTGAAAAGGAAAGCACTAATCTAGCCAGTACTCTTCATTAAATAAACACTTCATAAGCAATGAAAACTCAAAAAGTTATTTGAGAATAGAAGAAAGGTTAATGATTTTGAATAACAGTACCATATACGATTAAGTTAACAACTTATTGTGATACACATTGGGAGCTAGGATTTCCATAGAAGGTAACAAAATCACTGGAAGTTATAAAACGAAGATAAACCATTCATTCATAGAGTTAATGATGATCAAAGTGAATGGTATCAGAAGATCGTATTCTAATGTTCTCCTGCTCAAACCTCTGGGACACTATTTTTAAAAACGTGATTTTATTCCCATAAATTTTTCAAATATACGTTTATAGTAACTAAATACATCTGTTAACAGCAGTGCTTATCCCCCCACTGTTTCATGCCACAAATCTGTATAATTTGCACTAACAATTCTTTGATGTCATCAAAAATATGATACGGAATAAAACGATTATTATTATTATCACTTTTGTAGACGACTTCCTAGTTGATGATATCAACGAGATAATCTCTATCCGTGATGGTTGTGGTGATAATGCTCAAAATCAATAAATACATATTTATTCATTGCATTCGCCGAGATTTTCACCTTGAATATTATTTCTTCCTTTTTATGCCATGAGTTAATGTGTTCCCTTTCAAACCATATTCTTTATCATTGATACTACAGTGAATATCCTGATTCTTTTGGTTTTTACCTTGTTACTTTCCGAGGAGCAGTTATGAGGTGTTCAACGTTCAGCTACTAAATAGAAAATCCTAGTGTCACTTCGTCTACTTTTAGTTTGGCAGAAGGATAGTACCACTAACCATCACACATAAAGTTTGTCTCAAAGTAGAGTATACAAAATTATGAATAGTAAATGAGTTACATCATCAAATTTTATATTTACCGTGCTAGATATACATAAAGCATAACATTTTCAAGGATAATTGATGTTTAGAAAAAGAACGGATTTTAAAGAGCAAAAGCGAATCGTTTTACCGAACGAAAATATTACATAGTATAACTGTTTCCCCTCCGTACTTCGAAATAAATGAATTTTCAATGGGTTTTTCTTAAAATTTGTCCACAACAGTTGAAATATCTCAGCTTTATTACGGTTACCTAACTTCATTGTTTATAATAACTTATGATCAAGTTGTTAGCTGATGCATGACATAACTAATAATCACAATATGATTGATATAATGATAATAACTAAAAATGAACACTGGTTAATGTATGACTATTATTATAGCTGCACAGTTTTAAAAACTAGGCAGTAACAGTGCCGCATCAACAAAGAGAAGACAGACCACATCACATCATAAAATAGAGAAAATGAGACAATAGAGAGTAATTTCGTCGTTGTATTCGTATCAATCTGCATGTATATGTATTGATTAATTGATTAAAGTTTGCTTTAATCTATCTGTTGGACAAATATCCAGACAGCGTAGTAGAAATTAGAATCAATATGAAATAAACAACTAACAAACAAACAAACAAAAATAAGAGATTTACATTCACACAATAGGTATGTTATTGTATACTCTATCAAGAAACTTTTATTGATCACGTATGCCTGACCTTTTCATCCCACCAACCAACCAATCATTAATACTAGTTAAGTGTCTTACTCTCCTAAGTCCTAGGATATGGTGGATATATATGATACCAAAGTATTCAATTATTTGGATTGATAGAGAAGATTGCAGCTTAAACTAATCCTTTTTGTGTTGTTCCCCGAGCTAGGCCAAACAACACAACACTACCGGTATCTTGACACTGAACTAGGACCATATTGCACATCTACCTATACTATATGTGGACAAGTCGTAAGGAATAAGAAACGAGCGGTCTGGCGCGATAATGGAACTATGAACCATAAAATCGGGTACGATTATTGCTGGGTGTTATAGGTGAAAGCCATCTATCAGCACCACAAAACCTTTGTGGTGCATGACGTACCCAACATCTCCACCGTTTATGACGAGTAATCCAGAAAAGATCGGTTGGTTTAATTTCCAAGTTTAAAAATCATCACATACCTAGTACAATCATTTTACAATTACTGAGCCCATCATCTAGGAACAGTACTTATTTTATAGAATACCTACGTTTTTACAACAATACAGAAGAACAGGACGCAATTTTAACTAAAGAAAAGAATGTGATCCCACGCTGACGTAATTATACTGGTCTCTATGTTATACCGACATTGCAATACTGACTAGGAGTGGTGGCTTAGTGGTTAAGCCACTTGGTTATTAACCAGTAGAATGTACATTTAGGGTAACCGGGCGGATATGGAGGATCCAGCTAGGGGAGTTGGAAAACTCTGATTCCATATCGATGTTGCACACACAGGCTCCAGGATCTTGAAGGAACAAATGGAGTACGATGAGACTGCATCTACTAACGTTGCTCCACTGCCATGTGGATTAAATTTCTGGGTCGAAGGCTCGAGGTGAGGCACCCTAAGCAAACCACCTGCTTCGGCTACGTCGCCCGGAGAGCATTCCAGCCCTCACACAAACCGAATGGTGAAGTGTGTCGCATATATATTTGCTGCCTCCTTGTACTAATGTTTATGTGTTTTAATAATGAAACTTTATTCCGCATACAAACAATGTCAGCAAAGTCGGGCACAAATCTTCACACTAATTTAGTTAATGATGTTTTCTAAAGTAAAGTATTATTATTATTATTACCTATTCATTACTATTGGATTCAATTTTTCACTTACTTCTCTTTGGTGAGAAAGGAATCACGAACAACGGAAAAAGTATATTAAAAGCAAGCAAACAACAGGACACATATCATCTTTAAATGTTAATTGAGTATTACCAACTCTTACCGGGTACAAGTTTAGCGAATTGTACAACCTGTTGAGCGTGCATATGGAAATGATTCATCATATGACCCCATACTTGATTAATATTATCTTGATGTTCCGGTGGTATCGATGTCATACGGAAACGTGTTTTAAAGTACTTGAATTTGAATGTTTTTAGAGGAAAACAGAAATATAAACAAACAAAAAAGAAATGAACGGATAAAAAATGTATTCTAATCATAAACATCAACCGATTATAATTCATTAAAAATTGAAAACAATTTCAATGATATTAACGATAGTACTATTACTCAATCAGTCAATCAGCTACAACGTAGAAACAGACACATATATGCATTGATACACGTCCCTACACTTCATTAGCACCAAATTCATAGAACTAGTCACTTCAGTTGTAATAATGTATAAAAGAAAGATTGTGTATAACGAAGAAAGAGTTAGTTCGTAGAAAGAAAGGTATAAAGCAGTTTTAATCTCATAGTATAAGGGAAGACAATGAGTGTATACATCTACACCATTGTGATCGATTCTGAGCCATGTCACCAAGAGTCTCCAACCATTGGTTACGATAGTCACGTGCACCCCAACCAAGTAGTCTGCATCTACCAACATGGCTTAGACTAGAAGTCAATGAGTTCAAGGATTGATGCCACGTTTTGGTTTGCCCACCCCTAACTTTCTTCCAACCATCTGCAACACTAGTCAGTATTGCGCGTCGTGGTAAACAGTGTTCAGGCATATGTAACACGTGGCACAACCATATCAGTTAATGAAGATTCACAACCTCATCAACTGATTTACCATCATCCTCTAATATCCTGCGTCTAACCTCACTATTACTTACTCTGGTATATACTCCTTAGAATTTCAATCTAGCAAGAAAACATGTATCCAATATTGTATTTTTTGGTTTTCGATAGTTCTCCACTTAATTTCAGTTCATGATATAGATAAAAAGTAATATAAAGTGTAACGTTGAAGGCTCTAATGAGTCGTTTGGAGAGGTTTCAGTAGACCTAGGACAGTATTTTGCGAACCTCTTCGACACTATGGTATAGCTGAGAAGATCGTCAACATCACACGGAATTCATACAACGGACTACGCTAAAAAGTTGTGCATGGAGGACAGCCGACAGACCCATTCTAAGTGAGGACCGTAGTGAAACAAGGTTGCCTACTCTCCCCCATCCTCTTTCTTCTGGTGGCTGACTGGATTATGAAGACCTTCACATTTGAAGGAAAACACGGAGTTCTAGTGAGAAGTTGTGACCGTTGGAGCTAATCGACATCTGGCGTGAGGTAGTTTCCTACGGGAAACAATGGGAGATGGTCACAAAACGTCATGGATCAATTGGGGTTGGACATTAACACCGATGAGTGCCAACTGAGTGGTCTAGAGGTTAAGTGTTCGCGCCCGAAACAGATGGTTCTGGGTTAGAATCCTGAGTGCGGAATCGTAGATGCGCACTGCCGAGGAAACCAATACTAGGACGAAAAATCCATCTGCTGCTTCTTGGTTTCTAATGGTGGTCTAACTTGGATCGGTTCATGATTTTAATTAAGTTTAATATCATTTTTCTTTTTAAGGTGTGGTAAGTTGGAACGACATCCATTAGTGTCAAGTCCTACATTGATGATGACTGAGACAGTGAATGAAGTTACCATTTCACAGCGGAAAACGCGTTGGTCACCGTGATTTTAAATGATATCCTAGTATTCTTGTAATAGGAATAAGTTCAACGACGAAGCATATTACCATCTAGTTTAGAAATCAGGTTAAAAGTCTGAAAACTAGACACAAAATACCCAATACGATTATTTTTCAGCTGTTATTGTGTGTATATGATGCAAACGTAAAGAAAGTTTATGTGAAACTAATAAATATCTGTCGATATGTACAAAGCTGCTTTGCTAATAATGAATCATAGATTCAATAATCTTAGGTCACTGTATCAGTTAGTTTCACTGTATGAATGTAACACAGTTATCAAATACGATCAGCTATTATGTACTTGGTTGATGACACTAATATTCGGCCGCTCAAATCTGAAGTGAATAGAACAAATTTTATGGAAAGACTTAAGTAAGAATATTTAGTCTGAATAAATAACGCTGAATAGTACGGGTAAAGGTTTGTGTATAAAAATACGTCAGGTTAGATCACTACTGTGTGTCTACGGTCAGTTCGTGATGTATATGATGGAACTCAACAATCTTCACAAATTCTTCATATGAATAATAATAATTAGCAATCAATAATTAATAATAATAATAGGTAATAATGACTAATTTCGAGAGGTGGTTCTTGGAGTTCAGTTATGTCAGGTGTAACTGACTTAACAATGACAATGGAAGATGGCTTCACAATATCGTAAATTGACTTAAGTTTAAAATGTAACCCATCGGATCCTGACTCAGGAGTCTAAAGGTTGAGCGTCTATCCCTGGTGGGGTCATGGACTTGCACTATTGAGGGGTTCATCAATACGACGAATTAACTGTCTAATGCTTCCCAGTTTTAAATGGTTGTATAATTAAGCCCAGTTTGTGATTTAAACCACAAAACTTTCCATCATTAGATGATCTAAAGGTATAGTCCTTACTGTAAAAATTAAAAGGTCTTGATACCTATTATGTCTATGAAATCAGGTGTTGGTGAATCCCGATGGATTCCAAACAAAAATGAAACAGTTAACCAATGTTTTCTTATTTGACACTAGTTCGTACTGAAGATATTTCATCTGTTTTAACTGGAAATAAAAGATGGTTGTAGGAACTGAACACGCAGATAGAACAGGGTCTGATGTTGTAATTCGACGGTCAGAAGTCGAAACGATTCAATCAGTAAAGAAGTACATTTCTGATTGGCAATTCAAAACGTACACACACAAGGTCATTATTCACAAAGTTATGAGATCTCAACTGTTTTGTAAATGTTATAAGTGACGCTACCATAAAGTGGTCGTTGAATTTATGAACCGAATGATTAAACGGTATATAGAGCATATTCTAAAATTATTGGTTTACTCTACACAAAGTTCAGTTACCATGAGTGGTATAACGGACAGATGTAAAGGATCATTGATTGATTTGTGACTTTCATTTAAATAGTGATTAGTTATTTATCCCATAGGTTGGCTGTTTTATACATGGGAAACTTTTAATATCCTAATATTATCTATCAAGCAGGTAGCGTTAGTGGTTCTTATCTCTAGAATTCATTCATTTTACATTTTGTGACTGGGTTCTTGGATGAATTATCACTTCAGGAAACAAAATTAACAAATAGAAACATGTTATGTTATGTAAGTCATTTACCGAATACCGAGATTTATGTAATTAGCGTTCAGCTACTTCATTTGCATAAGGCCTGATGACCCTGTTCATCTGTTCAAATTGAGGTGAACTAAGAAGCACGTTTAGAATTGTAACTTACGGGTTGGAATTTGAATGCTGTAACTACTATATCATAGCCTGAATATGTGCAATAATTTACAATGTATGTAACTGCCATAGAATAGCATTCTTCACTTAAAAAAACTTACTGCATTTGGTAATCGTAGAAATTCAGTAGCTGTACGCATGCCATCAGTGAATTGTGAAACAGCTTCAGAAGTTACATTGATTGATGGTAAAGTATCTTCTACGTCTTCCCAAAATGACGGATCATCGAAACTTATGAAATTGTGACGATTGGCAGTTGTATTATTTGCCACTGTTGTGTTTGATGATATATTTGTATTAACGGTTGTCAGTGTAGGAGTAGTAGTAGTACTATTACATGCAGTAGTATTGATAGTTGAGTTTGAAAAGCTGGAGGTAGATAATTTCACTTTATTAACACGTTCATTATCTGAATTCGGTATAGTGGATATACATGTCTGCACCTGAGACAGATTTGAAGAGATTAGTGAAAAAGGTGAAGAGGAACGTTGAGAAGAACACAAGGAAGTAGTAGTAGGAGTAGGAGAGGTAGATGACAGAGAACAATTGATACTGGATTGAGATGATAATGATTGTAATTGATGTTCCTGAGAATAAAAGGATAATAATCTTTTATTATTAAGCAAACGAGATGCACAAAATGTAGCCGATGATGAATCTGAAATAGGTGATTGATGCAGCGGAATAGATTTGACTGTTTTGTAACCTGAGTTTTGATCAATACTACTTTCATTACCGTTATTGGAACTACTACATATGGGGTGTGAATCATTTCTATCATCATTAAATGTGATAGATTCACCGGTACGATCCAAAGCATGTCGTTCTAAAGCGTCATATACACTAGATGATCCATTGGAATAATGACGAACCAATTGGGAAGAATCGTTAAGTGGTGATGATCGCTGAAAGGTAATAATAGAAAATACCAAATTCCATATTATACAAGACTGGATGTTATTCGATTGATATATTTCTTAAAGAAACAAAAGCAATTGTTCTACATGTAGCTTACTTTAAGGATTGATTGGTTAGAACAACATTGAATATAAGAGAGCATTCGATAGCTGTATCGTTCTAGCGTGAGACTCATCAGCAGCGCGTATTCATAATATTATGAGAGAATGAGCTCAGGAACTTCAGTGGTTCGCATTTTGAGCTTCAGTGAATTCAGGATAACAATCTTCAGAAACCTTTCTTCCATGCTAATTATTGCATATAACAAGAACTTTTAAAACTAAATGTTATGATTGAGACGTCAATCAGAATCTCGGTTATAACTTCTTTATCCCGTGTATAATATTTTGTTCATAACCTAGAGCCGTAAACCTTGACCAATCATAAGCTTCTACTGCCAAGGTTAATTTTAAGTTGGGGTGGGATAATCTTAGCTCTGGTTATCCTATCGATATAAACATCTTCGTTCGCCAGTCTTAATTGCAAATAAGAGAACACACACTAGGCAAACTTCTAGCACTATATTTCAAGCATATATGCGCTTATATACAAGTATCTAGGAAAAAATCACAGCGTAAAGAAAAAAACAGGGCTTATATATAAACAAGCGAAAATTACCAGTGAACAAGGTAAGTTATAAATAATTGATTAATAGTATAACAATGGTTAGCAAGTCCAACATAAACTTACAAAAAGGGGGAATATAAAACCAAAATAGTCCAATCATTTAATAATCAGATAGTAAAAATGCAAATAACAACAAAAATCTGTAAAATATTCACGAAGTTGCAAGTTTCATAAACACTTGCTCATTTATAACATTAAATGATCTAATTTCGGGTTCATTCATGTACTATTTCAAACTGAAATATGCATTGACAGGTGTTGTATCGAAGAAATAATATGTAATCTCTTAATTTATCATGTCTTTAACTATCCTTCCAGTTGAATAGGAGGGTATGGAAATCTGAATACTGATTTATTATTATTATTATTATTGTTAGTTTAAAATAAAACTTGGTCAAATTATTGTTTATTCAACGTTTTACCGCGAGACAGATAAAACCATATTGTTTGTTAAAATCGATAGATTGTGGCTAAAAGTGGAATTTGTAAGCACACTTCGTCCTACTTGGGATTTGTCAGTAGTATTCTCGCCCACATAGGAACTCCAACCCATTTTTTTAAACTTCAAACACCGAATTATCCACTGAGTCCATGCAAACATTGACTAGTTAATTGGATACGGTGTTTACATCATTACTAGAGAGACTTTGAATGATCCCGCTGTTGATATTCCGGACTGAATTTCAGTCAACTTTTGTTGGCATACATGTATTCTGTGTGGAATGGCTCGACATAACCAATTTATGTTTTAAAAAAAATAATAAATTGTGGCTAGAAGTTGAATAAAAAGTTAGCCATTCTACTTGAAAAAGCATTTGGTCGTATTGCATCGATTCTGTTGACTTAAAGTAATGAAGTAATGATATAAGTCACGTCAAAAGATCACAATCAATTGGTATTCAGGTTGGCATGATAACTATTATGTCTCACTAACTACTACAAATAGTTCTCGTCAGAGACTGCAATCAACCTGAAGATCATTGAAATGCAGATTGGCAAAAACTGGAAATTATCCTGTCCATATAGGTCCAATCTGTTTATCAGTTGCCGATAAAAAGTGCCAATTTAACACAATATTCAGCTGTTAGCGTAAGCAAACACGAAAGTAAGTAAATGTTTGCGAAGACAATAGATCATTTACACAGAGTTATCTAGATGAACTGATTTGGTAAAATTACAAAAAGTCGAAGTTGTTCATTTTTATTTGATGTAGTGCACCACTGATAATCTCGTCCAAAACGAGAATGAAAACGAACCTATTTTGAATTACTTTACTAAGGCAAGACAACAGCTTCAAATGTGCCCCATAATAGAGTTGAAAAATTTTCAATTAGCTCAAAAGTAATCAATTCGTTGATTGATCCGTAAAAAATTAAATAAAATGTACGCATATCATAAAACTAAGGAAACATTAAATTGGCCAGATGCAAACATGGAACCACCCATCGATTATAGATTATTTTCCTAGATTTAATGAACCTACTACTGCTAATACTACCACATACATATACAACAATAGGGGTCATTTAACAACTAACCATATGCATATGTTTATACATTTGCAATTTTAAATTAGTCGATAGAGAAGATGTATCAGATTCCAGATTGTAATCAGATTTAATTGATTGCATTTCATCATCATCATCAATATCATCATCGTCGCCGTCATTATCATCATTATCAACATCATCCTGTTCAACACTATCATGATTATTTGAATAACAAGCAGATGATAATTGTGCACACTTCGAATCATTTAATGTTGTTAATTGATGATGATTTGACATAGAATTCGGCGGTAAGAAGAATAATAAAGATAAGGGTGGTTGTGTTGGCTTACAATCACTCGAAATTAATAAATTGTCTTGTTTCAATGAAGAATTTATCGGATTTATTGCAGTTGAACTGTAATTAGGACTCATCTTATCACCATTATTATCATTATCACTTCGACTTATATGTCGATAATGATTTATGGACGAAGTTAATGCATCACTACTACCACTCCTAATTCCACCAACTCCACTAAGATTATATTGACTATATGGAGGACAACCTGTGGAACTTTGACTCGGTGATAATCCGCCTGTTGAACTAGATGAATTACCACGAATAGCCTGTAGTTGTTTAATTTCAATGGCACAATGAAATTTGACTGCATTCGGTTGACGACCAATTCGGCTACCTAGAATTTAATAAATAATAATGGTAACAAATCATATGTATTCAATAAAAATAGTACCAGATGTAACGATAATTTATTTGTTTATACATTTATAATAATGTAATTGAAGTATAGAATAATTTCACAAATGTCAATCATTTAATTACAAGTATGCGGGCAAGACATACAGTAATACCAAGTAGTAAATATGAATAAAAAGGACTAATGTTATTCCAAATTTCATTCTATCTAATCACATGTTAGAATACCGTACTCTACCTACCTTGATTTGGGCAGATAGATAGTACCGTTAACTTTCATGCAACAAGATATGTTAATCACCAGGTGAGATGATGTTTATTTGAAGTGAATAACAGGATCATTATTGGCTTCAATTAGGATATGCTTAATATGGTTGGACATCACTTGCCTTGTGAAATATCTAGGACCTTAAGACAGAAAGTAGTGCTGAGCCGAGAGATGATTATCCAATACAACTAACTACTGTGAATGATTTTGAAACACGTCACCTAAAGTATACAACTACTGGTCATGATTATAATACAAATTTACAACTAAGTAGTTTATACCTGACAACATACTCAGACTTACGGTCAATGACTTTATAGCCTGGTGCTACACATATTAGTTTAATCATCCCTAACTTTATTTTTATTCCAGCCTGCATTATGAATTGAAGCAGACAGTACTTAGAGATATGGAAAATACCTCTCAGACACCACAGTCGATGAAAATTCATAGTTCCATTAATTGAATGGTTCTTTTTAACCTTGTAGCCTCAGCAATGTTCACTCAGTGTTTCCACAACAAGTCATGCTTCAAAGGTATCTATGATCAAATAACACAAATACATTATACCTTCAAAGGTTGCATTTTAAACACATAAAGTGAAGTGAACTGCTGTCCTGGATGCTACATCTTTGATAAACAAACAGATATCCTTCACGCACTACAGGTAGTGAAAGTTGGTACAAACGAAACAAACTTTTAGAGTGTGCTGGTATTTTGTCAAAAATCAAATCATCCGAACTTATGAGACTTGCAAGATAAGTAAAGTGGCTAACACATTCATCTACATTGTATGTAGGTGTATAGTACAATCAAAAGAGAGGGATGTACAAGTATTTATCATTACTAAGTAAAACAGGAAAAATACATACAGAACACACAGAAAAAAACCGAAAGACAACAATTTCGGTAAGCATAATCGATAATCAAAACAACACACATCTGCACACACAAAATTCAAATATCATAACATACAATATAGGGAGTACATAATTTGTTCATGTTCCTCAGTATAGATGTTTAAGTACAAACAAAGACAATATACAAAATATAAATGATCTTAGTGGGTCAAGGTTGATAGTCGAATTTATGAAGAATTCAATGATGAATATAATACATGAGGTATAGACTATAAGAGGCTAGACAAATATTTACAAACGCTTAAGTGGATGAGATTCAAGGTTGTTGTTTACTAATTTATCGGAGAAAACAAACAACAAAATTGAGATTTCAATCACAAAACATATTCATATCTACACAATCGAATAAATAAATCTTATAGTTGAAAAATAATTGTTTGAATAAGATGACATTGAGAAAAATGTGTACCTAGTTCATGTGATAAATCACGGAAATCGTAGGTTTTACAAACTACTGAAGCATATAGTTATTATTTGTCTTACGAAAAAAACAACATCAAACAAGCAAATTGATTAAATCTGTATTAATTTTGTTCAATAAAAACAGGGTGTGAACCGATGACGTGATGTTCAAACTTCTGGAACACTATTTTTTAAAAAGTGATTTCATTCCCAATATAAATTTATTTTGAATAACTAATTACATTTGCTAACAGCATGCATCTAACCTCATCCTTTCCATAAAATGTTAGCAACATATCTAGAACTCAAGATATACAATCATCGAGTAACAGAAGTTCACAGAATTCATACATCATATATATTCCGGGATTAAAAAATCAATGTCACAGGAGCAAAACTGATGGTCGTAAACGTTCATGGATAAAAATGAATGATAGATAATCACTCCTTAAGATGCGAATCTTATAAAAAAAAAATTGAATATGTTTATAAAACAGCAATTATGTATTATCTGTGCTGACAATTCTTCAATGTGATCAAACCTATGGAATAAGAGGATTATTATCATTATTAACATGTAGATGACTTCCTATTTGATGATGTCCGGTGCTTTAACCGGATCCCAAACCAATGATGCACATGGTCTCCAGTATCCTGCGGGAACAAATGGCGTATGAACCAATCGTTTGTCACAGGCTACCATGGGACTGCATCTCCACACGATGCTCCACTGCCTTGTGGGTCAGACCTTTAGGTCGAAAGCTCGGGGAGTGGCCTCCTAAGAAAACCACCTGCTTCGGTTTGGGCACCCGGGCAGTATCACAGCCCTCATACATATCGAATGAGATTTGTGTGGTCCATATGTATTTGACGCCTCATTGTACCAATATCTATGTGTTAAAAATAAATAAATAAATAAAATCTATAGTTGCAGATGGTTAGGGTGATAGTGCTCAAAATAAGTAGTGACAGTTTCAGTTCAATATACTGTAGGGTTATAAGTGCACACAGCTGAAGTGTTGTCTCCATATACAAAAAGATATGGAACAACTGTCTAGTAAGTAATTTACGTTAGCCAATAGATCGCTTGTTCGTTTAACTATGAGGCGTTAAAAGTTTAATTTTCATTCTCTACAGCTTAAAAAAAACTGACAAGTGAATTAGTGAAATGAAGACTAAAAAGTAGAAGAATCTAATTATATAGTTTAAAAATCTATCAAAGTATATTTTTCCACTCATTAATATATTTCATAACTGAACATACAATGAACTATACTGAAAATAAAAGTGAATCAACTCAACAACAAGATCTCCTACCTTTTTTAGACATTCCTGCTGCTAAACATCGACGAAAACGACAACTTTTACAAGCATTTCTACTTCGAGGTGTTATAGTACAAGCATTTTGACCACCTACACAAACTAATGAATTAGATGATCCTTCCGTACGACGAAAGAAACCCTAGAATAAACGAAGACAAAATATAAACTAGACATGAGAAAATATTTTGATAAATTGACAAATTGAAGAAAATGTTCAATAGTATTTACTTTTGATACAGGATAATTATAAATAGAGGTAACAGTGACATCATCCATACATTGCCATATATAGAAACAGTAATCTCTTCACAATGGATTCTAATGAATAAAACACCTAATATTGCAGAATCAACCCCTCTTTTTATTTTTTTTATCGATTAAGAAATAACTATTGGATAATATTTTTCGTAGGAATAGCAGAAACATTACGTGTGCCAGACTACCAACCATTGTTCTACCATACAATAGTCTTTCTGATTTTTTTAATTGTTGACTTATTAAGTAGTTATGGATGCTTAATAGGTAAACATGAACTTAGGGTTTGATGTTAATTGGCACTCATCAGGAAAGTATTCAAGGTTTCCTATAGACTTCCACCTAGAACTACTTACTTACGCCTGTTACTCCTCGTGAAGAAGCATAGGCTGCTCACCAGCATTCTCCATCCAACCCTGTCCTGGGCAATCCTTTTCAGCTCCTTCCAGTTGTTATTCATCCTTTTCATATCTGCTCCTATTTCCCGACTTAATGTGTTCTTTAGTCTTCCTCTTTTACGCTTCCTTTCAAGATTCCAAGTTACGGCTTGCATCGTGATTCGGTTTGGTGATTTCTGTCCTATTCACTTCCAATGTCTTTTCCTAATTTCCTCTTCAGCTGGAAGCTGGTTTGTCTTCTCCCACAGTAGGCTATTGCTGATGATATTCCGTAAACGGATATTGAGTACATTCCGCAGACAACTGTTTATAAATACTTATGCCTTCTTGATGATGGTTATAGTAGTTCTCCACGTTTTAGCTCCGTACGTAGGACTGTCTTGATGTTCGTACTGAAGATTCTGACTTTTGTGTTGGCTGACAATTGTTTTAAGTCCTACATGTTCCCCAGTTTTAGGAATACTATCCTTGATTCGCCAATTCTCGTCTTTACATATACGTCCCATCCTCCTTATTCACCGATGCTGCTGATCAGCCAATTACGTGAATGTATGCACCTGTTCCGCAGTTTCTTCATCAAGTGTGATTGTGTTGGTGTTTTATGTGTTGTATTTAAGGATCTTGCCTTTTTCTTCGTGTATGTTGAGGCCTATTGATGCGGAGGTTGCTGCTACACTAGTTGTCTTCATCTGCATTTGTTCGTATGTATGAGATAGGAGGACTATGTCATCTGCAAAGTCCAAATCGTCTAACTGATTCTGAGCTGTCCATTGCATTCCGTGCTTTTCCTTAGATATCGAGATTTTCATAATCCAGTCAATCATCAGAAGAAAAATGAAGAGGGAGATTAGACAGCCTTTTCTGACTCCGATCCAAAGTATAGAGTTACTTAGACTAATTACCATATTATTTGATTCATAGGATTCAATCATAACCAAACAGGACTAAACAAATAGGAACCACGTCACGACTTAGTGATCAATCAATTGTTTAATAACTTTGTATGGTTTAAAGATGATTTTACATAAACCATCTTTTTAACTTTTATAAATTAAATAAAATAAACATGTGATCAATTCGACATTCAGATCATTGATCAATCCCGATGAAATAAGTAAAATATTATTACTAGTTGAAATAAATGTGTAATGTAATCAAGTCTCTTTTCTCCTTCTCTCTCTCTCTACCTCTCTCGTTCTTTCTGCAATGAATTTATTTACATCTTCAGACAAAAATGTTGTGTTATAATATAAGTCAGTGAAATAAGAAAAATATATATAATAGACTAATGACTGTGTTGTTTATTCTCCACTTATTTGTATTTTGTGTGTGTGTGTGTATGTGTGCATGTGTATAAAAGTGTATAAGTTACTATGACAAACATTGCCCCAACTTTTGGAACATAATAATATTGTGTAAAAAAAATCAATTTATCAATTGAAATCAATTCCTTTTTTCTTTCTGACGATCAACAACAACAAAAAATACCGAAAACGGAAAATCTTGAAGAATTAAAAAAGAAGAAAATTTGACTGAAAATTAATCACAAATTACAATAAGTGTGTATTGGTGCCAAGATGATTAGAATGAAGTTCCATCTATGTATATATAGTACAATGGACGATGACAATGATGATGAGGTTGGCATGTGGATCAAGAAAGAAAAAAAAACAACTTCAATATTTCATAATTTCCATAATTATAGACAGTTGATCATTTGTGTGTGGGCTGTGGTACTGCCCGGGTACCCAAACCGAAGCAGGTGGTTGTCTTAGGGGGCCACACCCTGAGCCTTTGACCTGAAGGTCTGACCCACAAGACAGTGGAGCATCGTAAGGACATGCAGTCCCATGGTAGCCGGTGACCAAAAGTTGGTTCATACGCCATTTGTTCCCGCAGGATACTGGAGACCATCTGCATCATTGGTTTGGGATCCGGTTAAAGCGCCGGACATTCGCTTTTCGTCCTCTCATTTTCGTAAACAACACCCCCGCCACGAAAAGACAGTGAGTAGGACTTCAATATTCACATCACTAGATAAGGTTTGATTTGTTAATTGGGTTGAATAAACAAAAAAAGTAATTTCCTGTAGAAAATATATCTAATTCTACCAACATAACAATAGCACATATCAGAAATGATCAGCATATGCGATATGGGATAAAACAATAATTAATTGTACTAAACCAAAGTTCAGTGTTTCATATTTTGATGGGTATTATTATTAACAAATACATTAAGAAAAAAATGTCTTCATCCCATGAATGAAAAGTACTCATCTGATTATGATAACATATACATCAAGATTAGTCATTATTAGTTGAATAAGTCAAAAAAGCAAAAGTTCCCCTTAATATAACTTTGTTTACAGTTATACACAAAGCCTTGAATTATATTGGTAAGGTGGGATAATATACAATTGTTTGAATAATTCATTTATGTTAATAAATGAATATGATTATTTATGAAAAAAATTTGTTTTTACGATGGATTATAGATTTAATAGAACAATGAATGCTGTTTCCATACATCGTGTACACTACTCTTCTATGTTAGGCAAGTAGATTGGAAAACAGGTAAGATTAAAAACAGAAACCTAAGATCTGATGGAGAAGTTGTACAGTTAACCGTAAAGGGGTATGATGAGGAAGTTTTAAAAATTCTCCATGGAACTGGTGCTACCTATGGAATTTGAGACCATGCCATCCAGTGTTACAGTTAAAACGTGATTATGGACACAATTGAATGGAGTCTAACTTCCTTCAAGAATAGTCACTTGTTCACTTTCTAATACTGATTGAATTCTTTTAATTTGAGTACTAAGCTGAAAGCAACGAGCTATAAGATAAAAAATGACAAATAACTTCCTGAAAAACAAATAAGTGAACAAACAAAAGCTTACTTTACATCCTTCACATGTTAATGCACCAAAATGAAATCCAGACGATCTACCGCCACACACTCGACAAGGAATATTAGAAATATCGATTTCTGATTGAGTTTCTGGATCTGAATATCATTAAAATATATGAATGAATAATATCAAGTATTTTTTTAACAAAAGAAAAATAGTTAATAGAATTCATCCAAATCAAAATAAATTATTTTTTGTGAAATTATGTTGAACCAAATGTGCCTTTAGTAAAATAAAGTTTGTTTTAAGTATTTGTATTTGTACTACTTAGTGATTTTTCAACCATCTAGTTAATGAGATTACAAAACTATCTGTGCAACGTGTTATAATTATCTGCTTATCTCACTAAGATCCCGTAACTGGAAGACTTCGTATAGAAACCTATTCATTGTTGACATATAGGAACTAGCGATACCACTTAAGTTAGTTATGACAGAATAGTAGATGAAATAAATATTATTACTACCATTAAAAATTGAAATTTTAGTAGCTTAAATGAGTTTATCACGGATTAATTCATTTCGCTTATAATAATAATAGTGTAGGTTACATACGAACACTGACTCTATCTCAGATGTAATTTAAAGAGGAAGACAAAGAGAAAATATAGCAGCAACTACTACGCTATTGAGATTAAAACTGTAAATGTATGATAAACACAAAAAAGAAATTAATATTCAAGTTATAACTGGTGAACAGGTCAGAATTACAAGCCTAGAACATAGATACATGTATATGTATTCAAATAAGTAAACAAATAAATAAATAGAAACATGTATACTACTAATATAATCAGACTAATTAATAATTGTGTTGATTTTCACGACAACAATATGTATCTACAATTCAGTATATGTATATATCTGACAGATACATGTTTAGTGAAAAATGATCTCGTCAAATATATATATACATATAAAGTAAATAAGGGTATACTGAATTTGTCATCAATGTCTAAAGCATTTTTGTATTCAATATAGAATATCTGCAGTAGTATTGGTAGTGGTAAGTAGAAAATAAAATAGATGATGTAGCGGTCAAACTTACTAAACAAAAAAATATTTACTCACGAAAAACGATACACAAAGACAAGGGGGTCAAGAGTGATTAAAAGTATAGTTTCGTTTTGAAAAGAGTAAAACATCAGTTACATATTACGCAGATGTAACTCAATAAAAGATGTTGTTGTACAGCGTGAAATTGGTGGTGCGATGAAGTAAATGTATTTGTTCTGTAACTTTTATTCATTTGTTTCGTCCTTCTAAACAGTTTTCTTCACATTAAGGTCTGTTTTTTAGAAAATATCGTCATGAACATACCTACATGTTTTATAATCCATCTGGTTGTGTTAAAATACTCTGTGACAACAAATTGAGTTAGATACAGACTTGTCCCAGACGCTACATTATTTATAACTAACTATTGACAGGTTGGTCCTTATCTTATTGATAATAAACAATTAACCGTTAAATCAATGCAAATACTTGAGTATACATGTAACTGATTAATGTAAATAAACATCGTAGGATCAGATATTTTAAAGACTAAATTAATTAACTGTGATTCACTAAGTTAGGGTTAGAGAATATAGAAATCACAATGATAAGTAAACAGGTCAATTAAAATTAAATTAGAGTGGTAAGTACAAAAAGGGTTTAGAAGTAAGGCAACCGGATGACTTTTTCGATTGCATAGATCAGTTTCTCGTTAAAGAAATTTCAATAAATTCGTCTTGAAGTCAGTTAGAACTGAGTATGAGATTATTATTATTGTTTGTTCAGTACGAAGAGCTTTTTATTACAGGGTGGAAGCAGATAAAGAATTATTGAAAACATTAGGAGTGACGAAATATTTAGAGGATCGAACACCTACTAGTGTCAGGTCTTACGGTGGACATAATGTCATTCCAGTTACATTGCCAAGTATTTTTTTTCAACAAAAAACGTAGATGATCAACATTTAAACATAAGGACAATTATGGACAGAGATAAAGATGAGACAGCTATGGAGAGAAAACATGCACAGAATATGCGTTTTTTGGAAGGGGATTCGGCCATACACATAAATAAATGAGCAGCATTATTAGTAATCGTGTGCCAAAGAAATGTCGAGATAAGAATAGTGTTTCACTTTTTTTATTACAAACATAGATTTTAATTGCATTTTGGATTATCAATATTATTTCACTACAAGATGCAGTTCATACAGATAAGCTTTATGCCTGGACCGTGCGTGTGTGCACAGAACTTAGAAAAAAGTGAATAAAGCTGGATTTTATTATCAAAGCTATCAAACTACTATAAAATATAAACAATACACAGTCAAACATTGTCTCGCAATTGCAATCCCTATTAGTTATTTTGTTCTTGAGAAAAAAATTCTATTTCTTTTATTTTTATGAGCCTAAGTATACCGATCTAGAATATTTTTGAGTTGAACAAACGACCAACAAGTTGATGATAATTATGGGAAATAAAACAAAATTTCCACTTATTTATTAAATATCGGGACTGTTTTAGTAAATTTGTGGAAAAAAAACTCTAACACTATTTATTGGTGTTGTATCAATGAGAAATATGTGTAAATATTATTAGAGATGTTAGACCTATTCAGGTGCGTTTCTGAAAGGTGTACAACCTTTCGTTGAACAAGTTACAAAAGGCCCAATCAGAGATATCGTGGTTGTTGGCAATATGCAGCGAAAAGAATGTAGATTATTTAGATATCAAGTGACTGGACTGTTAACTTCTAACAGGCGATCGCTCAATATTTATCGTCAAGATCGACCAAGAAGTAAGAAACGGAAACTTGTTGAAATACTTTGTGCTGAGAATTCTATATTGTACCAAGAATATAATACTGAATAAGGCTAATAATAATAATGTCATTACGAACCTCTGGACTTAGATTTTATACTAAATATCATTCGCGGACAGGACGTATCTACAGTTCCCATGTGATTCGAACCAGCATTATCTTGTATCACAAGTTAAAAACGTTATTGACTCATCCGATTCGTACAAGCTTTTAGAAAAAATACCTGGAGGACGTGTTGTTATATCTAGAGCTTAGATTGTTAATATACCGCGTATAACTTGAGCACTCGAACGCTAGAACCCTCCAAGTCGCAAATAAGAAGACAGAAGAAAGTGCTTGCTGGGCAAGAATAAACACGTGTTTGAAATGAAGTCAACCGAACATCCAAGGAGGGAAATGTGTAGATTTGCATGGGATATGAAAGACAGAACTACGTCTGATAATCTGGCACATTTAGTGACTGAGCGACCGGCAAAACTCATATCCTCCAATCAATCATGTTATTGAATAGCATTAGTTTGTTTTTATATATCTATGTTATTTTACTAGAGAAAAAGAAACTATTGTCCAGTTGTGTTATCTGATGACACCAAATTAGTCCGATAATTATGGCAGTGTATCCGTTTGGTGAGCAGCTATCAATAGATCAAAACATGCATCGTACATCATCGTCTATCGACTAAGAATTGTCTTTAGTCATTTTAACGATAAAACTATGTGGGTCCATAAGATACACAAAACTACACTCCGTGACAGCATGAATATGGTGTCGGAAGTAGAGGAGATACAATGAATTAGAAATGACGATAACAATGGTAATTATAACACATAGACTGTCTTCCCCAAATCCAATAATGACTAACTATTGTTTGGCTTGAATTTTTCCGTGGAGGAGAATTTCTATCTATATGTCTATCACAAAATCCTATTAATACCCACGCACACACACACACACTGTAATAAATCAATTAAATAAATAACTAATAAAGCTTATTGATGGAGCAGATAGGAATATTAATAAACACTACAATTAGTTTACAGAGAGAAAAATGTGATTATGCCGAATAAGATGGCTTGATGTGATGTAAGACAAGAATGGAAATAAAGCAATTCTCGGTAGACAACTCTAAAGTGTTAAATTGTCACACATATCGTAATCAAATATACAATGAGTTGAAAAAAATCGAGTACAATATGTTTAAGTGTAAACAACAAACGATTAGGTGGTTATAGATAGGAATTCGGGAAAGGATCAAAATGTATGATTGATTATAACAGTTCTCAAGGGTTAGGGTTTGAATTTTCATGTTGTTGATATTCAAAACTGAAATTGAACATTATCATATGTACATCTCCTGGCAAGAATGCCACAATACTGGCTCCTCATCACAGGAGGAACTCTATACTAAGACGAAACAGCTGTCTAAAGCTCCCCATATTTTAATATGTCTGATAATAATCAACTTCATGTACTGTGTAGTTTTTTGTATAGAAACAGAACTCATTGTGTTCATCGATTCCTGCGTTCATTTCATATCAATGTAATAATCCAATAAGTCGATAGACGATCAAAATTGTTCATAGCATAAGTATTTATCTTCGGTACCCAACTTTGGCTAAACAATTTATTAGAAATCAAGGAGAAATAGACGATTATCTCGCTTTAGTGCAGGAATCATTGCGAGTGTACAACCCATATCTATGCAGACTTATGCATCAAGGCGAGAGTATTATCTTCAGACCATCTAGTTGGAATCTAAAAATTCACACACATACCTTATAAATTAAAAATACCCAGGTGTCTAATGAATTTCAGTAAAACAAATTAGATCGAATGAAAGACATAGGACCGTATAAGTAGAGTAATCCTATACAGAACAATGATTACCACCATTGTATAGTGACTGGTAACAGCAACACAGCTGAAAGAAGTTGAGAGTAACTGAATGAGTCAGTTTGTATGTGTATGTAAGTATCTGCTCAGAAAGAACAAAATTAGTTACGAAAACTACATGAACAACAATCGATAGATATAAAACGTGTATGCGTCACATTTACGTGTATGTATATACAAACTAAACGTACACAAACAAACCGTAACTACCAACCTAAGATATTCAAAAATCAATGTCGAATTTGGCATTCACACTGACTGAAACAGTTATTGATTTGAAAACAATAACAATCATAATGAGTACTATTAATATGCACACAACACTAACCCATCAATCAAGGTAAAATGAACCGGACAATAATGATAATAAAGAAGACGCTGAGTGATGTTGGTGACACTTAATGTAGTGTGTGAGAGAGACAAAATGAAACATCAATTGATTTGAATCATTTATAAATTTGAATACGTAAATGTTGAGCAGTTTTATAAATAAACTTTTCAAGATTACAGCCTCTACTACACCCCAAAGCAGACAAAAAATACAGAAAAAATTTTTAAATAGAAAAATACATATAAGAACGAATTTCCTATGGGTATTATAAAATAAAACTCCGCTTGTAGCTCTTCTAGAGTTACTGCCGGTCTTAAGCTCGGGTAAAAGAGGAGGGTTGGGCATGGGGCTAGCGTCTCCATCCCGTAAAAAACTAACTCGCTAAAAAAACGCTAACCAGAAAAAAATAATTCAAACCATTTTAATTCCGCCCTGGGAGTTAGAAGGTCTTCATTTAGAAGAACTATGACACCTCATGGTGAAAGCTGAGTTCCTTCAAAAGCCACGAGGCCGATGCCCCTTCCAACAACCAGAGAAACAATTTTTATAGGTACATGGAACGTCCGGACAATGTGGGAGACCGGGAAGACCAGTCAAACAGCAACGGAAATGAGGAGATACAACTTGGTAGTACTGGGAATCAGCGAAACCCATTGGACCCAAGCTGGACAACAAGGGCTAAATACGGGAGAGATACTGCTATACTCCGGTCACGAATAGGAAAATGTTCCACACACTCAGGGAGTTGCTCTAATGCTGTCAAAAGCAACACGAAATGCGCTTGTAGGATGGGAATCTTACGGATCCAGAATCATCAAAGCATTATTCAAAACAAAGAAGGGGGCATCACAATGAGTAACCAATATCATGTTGTCTACGGTATCCAGTGCTGATCGAATTCCGACATTATTCGAAATGCAATTAGGAGCGGCAAAATTAGATTTAAACTAACTGTGATGATTTGATGATAAGTTTCGCCATGAACAGATAACAACTATGAAGGAAAATTTCCTGAAAACAACTATCTAATGATGTGTACTTCTAACCTCTTAAGAGATTTTTACACAACTGCTAGGTTTGACATTTGCTCAACCTGACTAACTGTATAAACATGTTGATGATATCGTTCAAATTAAATGTCACAAATCCGAGAACCATTCGACTTTCAGCTACGCACTTAAAAAGATTTATTTTTTAAATCTTGTCACTGATAAGTGAATATTTAAGGGAGTTGATTAATTTGAAAATAAATAAACCTCATTATATATTTGATTTGTTTTTATAATGAACATACCAGTTAGCATTTTTACAAAATATGGTTGAGTCTTACTAATAATTAATGCAAATCATTGTAGTTCGATTTCAGTCATATTGTGTGTACTATTATCTAGTCGCCTAAACCGAAGCGGCTACGATGAAACTTGGACCTGATACCTAGTGGCTGATTCGTTGGACAGGACTGTTCTCTGGGATTGTCTATTGAAGAAGGGTGTACCTGAGAAGTTTATTAACATCTTAAAGGCCCTATATACAAACATCTCAGATAGAGTGAGGGTTTACAACCACCTTTCTCCATTGTTCCATTCAAGCAGTGGGGTTAGAGAGGGTTGCCCAATCTCACAATTCCTCTTCAACTTTGCCATCGCTGACATTCTGGAAACAACCCTGATGAATGTAAGTAATGGTGGTGTGGATCTGTTGCCTGGAGAAAGACTTCTCGACATTGAGTATGAGGATGATATTGTCTCACTGTGTGATAATGCCCAAACCATGCAATCCGCACTTAATCAGTTGGCAATCAATGTACGTAGGTATGGTATGTGCTTTGCACATTCGAAGTGCAAAATACTTCTACAAGACTGGCATGATCCTAATCCTGTACTCACCCTGGATGGTCAGCAGATAGAAGTAGTCGAGAAATTCGTGCATCTGGGTAGCTGCATAAGTGCTGGTGGGGGTGTGAGTGATGAGATCAATGCATGTATAGTGAAAGCCAGAGCGGATTATACCAATCTGAACCGTATTTGGCACCTTTGTGATGTCAGTCTGGCTGTAAAACTTCGGATCTACAACGCGTCGGTGAGAGCAGTTCTATTCTATGCTTGTGAAACCTGGCCTCTCCGAGTTGAAGATGTTAGACGACTCTCTGTGTTTGATCATCGTTGTCTCCGAAGGATTGCTCACATCCAGTGGCAACACCATGTCAGTAGTGCAGAGGTTCGGTATCGTGTGTTCCGGCGCAGAGACGATAATCCAATTGGTGTTACCATCTTGAAACATCGACTTCGGTGGCTTGAACATGTTCTACGAATGTCGGCCCAGAGAATCCCACGTCGTGCATTATTTGCCGACTCTGGGACTGGTTGGAAAAGGCGGAGAGGTTGTCAGTGTATGAAAGAAAGCTGCAAAGGACTGGCTTCTGTTGGTCCTTCACGACTCCCTGGCTGGGGTCCGAGAGATGGTGCAACACAGTGGCTAGAGTCGTTATCAGATATGGCTCAAACTAGAAGCCATTGGTGATCCTGCCGTGACCTTCTTTTACTTTCTTCATAAAAAGTGGTTGTATCTTCCTTAACTGAAAGATTCCTTCTGGTTGTACCTTTCCGTTCCCCCCATTATTATTATTGTTATTATTATTACTACACTACCTTACACTAATCTGGTCGTTATTGTTCTTCTCCTTTTTTCTTTTACGTTCCTTACCTTCTTTTTTTCTCTTCCCATTCTCATTGCTTTGTGTGGCGCATATATATTTGGTGCCCTCTTGTACCAATATTTATGTTTTCAAAAAAATAAATAAATAGCGGCTGATTGTTGAACGCCTTAGTCAGTAAGCCAGAGCTTTAATAAAACGCTGGGTAATTAACATTTTATAGTGACGGTTAGCAAGACTATTATTAGTGAATCGTAATAAATGTAGGACCTACCATAAATGTGCATCAGTTCAATTTGCTACATTAGATTAGTACAGCAAAACGATACTAATATGAGAATGAGTACAAGAATTGAAATAATACAGAAATAAACAGAGAACATGGGGTACGAATAAAAAGAAATTACTTAAATGAAAACATAAAATATTATTTAAACTCAGTGTCTAACAAATGAGGACGTCTATGGCACAGTGACTAGTTAAGAACCACATTATATGACGTGTTATCATCACAGACACGTTCATTGAATCAACTGAGTTAGTAAAATAAACTATAAGTTACAATGATTTAGTCAGCTTCACTATTTACTTCGTCAAGTTGATGTGATGAGGTGACTTAGGCTAACATACACATCCTTGATGCCAGGCTCTAATTTGATTAAGACAGACTGATTCAGTCAACCTTTATAACTAAGTAGAGTTTGAAGAAAAACATCCGGAATGTCCTTGAACAAAGGCAGTTATGATTGACACAATTTAAAGAATGACATTAATTTATAAAATTTCTATTTATTTCTCTCTCTACATAGAGAACCCACCTTTCATTTTCATCCCAACAAGTAAACATTTACGGTAACGACAAATTTGACATTTCCCACGACTACCTTTAGCCACTATACAGTTGCCACCAGTTGGACAGACGTTTGTCGGTTTTGTATCAGCCATCGAATGACGCATGAAAAATTTCTACGGAATTAGAGAAAAAGGTAAAGCAAAGAAAAGATTACCGAATTGCCATAATTAATTGATAAGTTAAGCAAATAATGATAACGACTTTCTACAGAAAATGAATTACCACAAGAAAAGTTTACTGATGATGAAGTACATGTCTATTTGAAACTGAGAGATTGTTTTTATTTTTAACCACCAACCAACCAATGACCAAGTGTCATAATTTTGAAACATTTCAATTTTGGTAACAGAATATTCATATTTATAACCTGATGGACGAGATAAAATTTTTACTTTGGTGGAAAATATCTACCTAACCACTGGCATACTCATTTTAGACTTAAGCATTAAGTTAGGGAAAGTAATGTTAATCAAAAATTAGACTGATAATGAAGTGGTGTAAAGCGAAAAGCCTCCATAGAATCAAAGTGGTTATATAGTACAAGGTAAGCTGAATGAAGAATGAGAATAAAAGAACTGGAAGTCACACTTTTACAAGAGATAAGTACGTTGGTGAAATTAAATATGGTGAAAATGTTTTTAAATATGGTTGATGATATGCGCAGTTCCTAAATTCGGTCATGTTTCAATTGATATAGATCAAGTGGAAGGTGACTGATTAATCTGAATAGTTCTGTGATGCAACCTTGGAGAAATAATAATAAAAAAATAGGAAGGTAAGTTGACAACAAGAGAGCATTGTTAAATGAAGAGAGATTAAGAAAAAATCAAGCAGAAAGTAGTGATAAGAAATGTAAAAAAAACTAAAAATAGAAAAGTATGGTTGGATAAAATTGTACAGACATTAAAACCCTATTCGCTAGTATAACTCAAAGTAAATTAAAATTAATGATTTATCAGCTTAAAATCAAACAGAAAGTTTAGTGTACTTTTATAATAGATAAAAAAAACAGCTACCACTGTAGATATCCAGCATACAAGTGAAGATTTTTTATTAATTCAATTATTAGGTACAGATTAGCGTACTTCGCTTAGAATCATGAGCATGAGGTCTAGTAATACTATTATTCAATTGCTTAGACTGATTAAACTACGCACATACAGGATCCGAGTAGCGTCATTCATTTGACCTCACCATGCCAAAATAAAGAACCGACTCGATTTACGCTTCGTGTATCTGGAAGCCCTGATTCTGCTTCCCGTGGCCTCGACGGCGTGAGTATAGCATTGAGTCCTAGGGCAGAACTAGCTCTCTTAGAGTGGATCCCAGTAGACAGTCGTTTGTGCGCTGTCCGACTAAACGGAACTGTAAGGATCCGAAAAGATAGGGACACTCGTCGTTGCCTTTTCGTCGTTTCTGCCTATTCTCCCGCTGATGCAGCATGGAATGATATACGAAAAGCTGAGGAAACAGCAGTGATATCTGCTAGTAAGGTAAACCAGAAGGTTAGGGAGCAACACTGGATCTCAACAGCATCTATCGCACTGATAGATGCTCGGAAACTCATCCCACCTGGCTCTGAACATAATGAAGAGCGGAGTCAGCTAAAGCGCAAGCTGAAAAGAAGCCCACGCAATGATCGCGAACAGTGGTGGGTAGCGAAAGCAAGAGAGATGGAAAAGGCAGCGGCAATAGATAATAGCAGACAATTGTTCAGACTTGTTAAGGAAACCGGAATTAGGAACCCGACCGTTAGTGAAACAATCTCAGAGAAAGATGGACATATTATTCATTCTCAATCCAGGAGATTGGATCGATGGGCAGAACACTTTAGGGATCAGTTCAACTGGCCTTCAGCCACACTTCGGTTTCCCACGATCTCTAGTCAACCTGAATGGCAAGTTAATGTAGGTCCTCCGTCCCTTTACGAAGTTGAAAAAGCTATAGGAAATCTAAAGCGAGGGAGAGCAGCAGGCCCTGACAGGTTTACTCCTGAGATTTTTAAGGATGGTGGTCCAGCATTAGCAGTGAGATTAACTGAGGTCTTAGGTAGAATTTGGGAACTGAACGTAATCCCATCTGACTGGTCTCAATCACTGATTGTGCTAGTCTATAAGAAAGGACAAAAGTCCTCTTGTGACAATCACAGAGGAATCAGTTTGACAAATATAATGTCTAAAATATTAGCTTCAATAATACTTCGACGCCTAACCAAAGCTCGTGAAGAGCAGATCAGAGAAAACCAGGCTGGTTTTCGACCTGGACGTGGTTGTATAGATCAGATATTCACACTACGTCAGGTTCTAGAACACAGACACACATTCAGACGCCCCACAATGGTAGTATTTCTCGACCTTAAAGCGGCATTCGACTCTGTTGATCGTAAGGTTCTATGGCAGTGTTTGTCATTGAAAGGAGTACCAAAAAAGTACATTAACCTTATAAAGGCTCTCTACTCGAACACAACTGGTAGAGTGAGAGCTTATGGCGAACTGTCATCATAATTGATTACCTCAAGTGGTGTTCGTCAGGGCTGTCCACTCTCCCTATTCTTGTTCAACTTTGTGGTCGACGTACTTTTAGAGATAACACTTTCCTCATCTAAATTTCCAGGGGTTGAACTTCTACCGGGAGGTTCACTTGTTGACTTAGAATATGCTGATGACAGTTTTAGTTGGTGAAGACGCTGACAAAATGCAGAGTCTTCTGACCACTCTAAGCAACAATGCAAGCATGTTCGGGGTGCGATTCTCCCCATCGAAATGAAAATGTTGCTTCAGGATTCGGTTGCATTGACACACGAACTAATGATAGGGAGTGAAGTAGTAGAGCGTGTCGACCGTTTCACCTATCTTGGAAGTCTCATCAGCCATTGTGGTCTGGTGTGGGACGAAATCTCAGCACGGATACAGAAGACTCGACTAGCTTCAGCCAAATTGCGTCATTTATGGCGTAGGCGAGATATCTATCTACCAACCAAAAAAGTGTTTACTGCTCAGCAGTTCGTTCCGTCCTACTTTATGGCAGTGAAACATGGCCGGTAAGAGTAGAGGATATTCGTAGGTTACTAGTATGCGATCATAGGTGTCTTCGAAACATTGCTCGTATATTCTGGGACCATCGAGTAAGTAACGCATTTGTTAGGAAACGTACTAGGTAAGGATGACAAATCGATTGATGAAGTAGCGAAACTTCATCAGTTGAGATGGCTGAGACATATGTCACGTATGCCCAACCATCGACTGCCCCGACGTGCGATGTTTTGTGGTGTAGGAGTAGGTTGGAAGAAATCTATAGGCGGCCAGACCAAAACATGAAACAAGTCCATGAAGTCACTGTTAAGTGGACTGAGCCATGTTGGTAGATGTAGACTACCTGGTTGGGGACCGCGAAATGATAGCAACCGATGGTTAGAGACCTTGAATGACATGGCTCAAAATCGTTTGCAACTGTGCAGGTACATCCACTCTTTGTATTCTCCCAGATTTTGATCTCCTTATTCCTCCTTGTCTCTTTTTTCTCTTCCCAAATTTATCTCATTGGATTATACTCTTTAAATAACATCTCCAAACCCTAATTTTTCAGATTACTGCTTATACTCTTACCGCCTCTACCACTACGGGATTTGAATCGACCACTGCATCTCTGTGCTAATGTGGTATGGCAACTCGAACTGATGTACGTATATACGAAGTTCTACGTTGTTACTGACTGACTGAAACTACGCGTTTCACTTATTGAACCCAATTCTACTTTTGCTACTACCTACTCCGATGATACAATACAATTCCCTACTGTAGATTAGTAACCGAGTGCATAGCCTGGTGGATTTGGCCTAGAATTACATATTTTATGCATAAAAATGTCAGTTTTACTACTTGTTAGAACCTATTATAACCCAATGGTTGTCTAAGGACAATTCGTGACGTGAGTTATGGAACTTAACAACCATCACAAATCCCTCATACGAAGAACAATCACGTAGTTACTGGTAACTAATTTCGAGAGGTGATTCCCGGAGTTTCAGTGAGGACTGATGACCAGTGTAGTTTGGCCATATCGAGTGTGACTCAGTTACTTACGAATGGGTAATAGATGTAAGTCATTGGATCCTAATTCGGTGGTCTAAAAGTTAACCACTCATCGCAATATGAATGCCTAGAGTCAGATCCCCGGTGGGATTGTGGATGTGCACTCCCTGTGGAGGCCCGTATCAGAACGAAACAGCTATACAATGCTCCCAGGTGCCCAACAGTTATCGAACTAAGGTTAGTTTATGATGTAAACTATAAAAGTTAAGCATAAAACCGCCGTTTTATGCCAATCTGAAAGGCTGTCATTATTACACTTAATTGCTTAAATTAAGACAAATAAGTAGTAGGATGAAATTGTCGTCACTGGCCGGTGACGACTGATCCACCAAATGAGGAGGAAGTCCGCAAGGAACTCCAACTCTTGAAGCGTTACAAATCACCTGGCCCAGATGACTTACCTCCGGCTCTTTTTAAAGATGGTGGTGACTTTTTGACTAAGGAATTGACGACGTTGTTTACAAAGGTTTGGGAACTAGAGAGTGTACCAACGTCATGGAATGAGTCGATAGTTGTCCCTATCTTTAAAAAGGGTTCACGTCGTTCTTGTAACAACTATCGGGGGATAAGTTTACTTCCGATTGCGTCCAAGCTATTGGCTTCCGTCATTCTTCGTAGGTTGTTCAAAACCCGAGAAAGATTGACTCGCGAGGAGCAGGCTGGGTTTCGTTCTGGTCGAGGATGTATTGATCATATCTTCACCCTCCGCCAAATATTAGAACACCGCCATACTTTTCAAAGGCCAACAATCGTAGTGTTTCTTGACATCAGGGCTGCCTTCGATTCGTTGGATAGGACTGTTCTCTGGGATTGTCTATTGAAGAAGGGTGTGCCTGAGAAGTTTATTAACATCCTAAAAGCCCTGTATAAAAACACCTCAGGCAGAGTGAGGGCATACAACCACCTCTCTCCATTGTTCCATTCGAGCAGTGGGGTTAGGCAGGGTTGCCCAATCTCACAATTCCTCTTCAACTTTGCCATCGCTGACATTCTGGAAACAACCCTGATGAATGTAAGTAATG